CATGGACCATCCAAGTAGTTCAGTTGCAAAAGCAGGAAGTAGTTGAAAAGGTAAGGATAATTAACAAGGTGATTATATTAAAATACTTCCCACCTCCTTACACATGCTTATGGAATTAAGGCTTCAAGAAGGTTAGAGAGTAGGTTAGGGATGCAGGATTGGTACACGCACCTGTTAGATAATCCAGACCTTCTAATAGTTTCTTTTCTCTAGAAAAATCTAAAGCAAAGTTTTCAAAGGCATCATTAAAATTGATATCTGGTATCAGAACTTGAGAGGATGCAGTTGCCATGGCGACCCTGAAAGAAATAAGAGAGCATCAATATACATTAGGGTGTGTTTGGACTCCCAGGCAACAGTTACTTTGCTGATTAAAAAGGTGCAAAGTCTTGCAGCATTGTAGCCCACCATGAGGAAAAACAGGCCCTAATATCTAAATTTGATTTCACTAGAGAATCAGAGCAGCAACTCCATGGGGAAGGGATTAGTGGTTTTGTTTGTGTGTTTGCTAGTGAAGTAATCCTTGAATAATCACAACCATACATGCCACAGCCTTGTCTTTTCTTCCAAGGAATGACACATGCTTCTCTTCACACCTAATATTTAGCTGCTGAACAACTTGCCTCCCATTCTATTACTGCAGCCTCAGTTTGGGTGACAGTCTAGACCATGGGCTCTCAGTCCCTGGGCTGGTGCTGGGCTGTGGCAGGTTGGCTGGACGGGAAGTGGTTGCAGACAGGCAAACCATGACTCCCCAGAGCCAGGCAGGGAGGCTGTGGCTCCTTCTGCAGGGCCTGCAGCAGTGCATGGTTTGCCCCCTCCTTGCCCCTCCCACCCCCCGCCCAGGGAATGGGGGTATTCTTACCTGCTGGCTGGAAATTCTGGCCGTGGTCAGCTGCACCTGCTGGGCCACGGTTTGCCAGGCCATGGTTTGCCAGGCTGCAGCATAAAAACTTTGGGAACCCCTGGTCTAGACCTTATGAGATCCACATAGTTGATTGTCATAAGCTTTATTTACATTAGAACAGTTTTGTTAATATGTCCCATTGTTGCAGCTCTGCTGGGGACAGCAAGAAGAGAGGACGGGATGTTGCTATTTTAAGCACTGTCTCGTGTAGGCCAACACTCCTCAGGTCTTGACTGTGTTACATGTTGCTCTCTCTGCAATAGCTCCTGCTGTGATTCGTTGGCACATACCCTACAGAACTCTGACAATTTTGCTTATTCTCTTAGCTATAAGGTCTCCAGCTTGACCCTCAGTCTTTCAGCTAAGGGGGTGGCTCTCACACCACACCCTGGGACAAGAACAGGGCAGAAGCTGAAACTTTAATTATTTAACAAATGAATCCCAAAGCAGAGGCAGCTTTAGTTCATTTATTGATTAATCTGGAACAATTCATTATTCAGGTTGTTTCCAACTCTACAACTGTTTCTCACAGGCATTTTTCAGGCTCTTTTACTCTGGTATTATTTGCTGACTGTATTATGTCACAATGCAGGAAGTTCTGTTTTAAGGCACTTGATACTTAGGAAAAGTAGCCTATAAATCAAGAATTAAAATTAATAAAACTGGGCATTGCCTCCCCACCACATATTCCTGAAGAGCAAGGAAGCAGTGAGTATCATCTCTTTGGTGGTAGTGCTCAGCAAGGATATAAATCTGCATTAGATACTTAGAAAACAGCCAGGGTCGATGGAGAAATCTCCATGGATAAATGAGATTCCAAGGGATAACAGTTCTGTGCTGCTAAGACAACTATTTACTACTGAAGCTCAAAACATTATTTACACCAATTTCCTGCGTGGATTAAACTCCTGCTCAGCACAGACAAGCTAATAATCTCTGGTGAGCCCACCTTTCGGCCACATTTTTGGCGGTCTGCAAGAATCGTGCGTGGTCGTTCTCTTTCAGGATATGTTCTGCTTGATTTATGAGGACTGTTGAGCGCTCCAGACACTGCCGGCAGTTAGCTACCTGCTGGGCCAACTTCCTCAGCTTCATAACCTTGAGGAACAGAGCAGGGGGAAAACAAAATAGTTCAGAAAACAGCACTTGAAGGAGATCTGCAAGGAGCCCTGGGAGCTGGGCTCATTAATCAACTGGCTGAAGCTGCCTTGTCAAGGGACACAAAGTTAACAGAGAGGCTGCCACAATGGTTTGCCCTCTAAGGGGCTTCTGAGTACTTCAAAGGCATTGCTTTAAAACCAAATGAGAAAACATTTATCCAAACTGCATAGGCTTTTAAATGAAAACCAGCAAGAGAAAGGCTCTATGTGGAACCTTCTCTTCCAGGCCTTCCTGGCCAAGCAATAGTAGGGAGGAAGAAAGTTTTAAGTAGCAGCATTTCAAGGTGCACTCTCCATATTACACAAGAGCAGAGAGAGATTCATGCCTATGGGGAAAGTTACCATGGCCATGTAAACAGAAGTGGGAACATGTGCTTTGCAGAGCCTCAAAGGCTTTTGAGGCGCTGCACATGAAAAGGTTTGCCATGCTGCCAAAATCAGATTCTGGGAAATCCCGGTATCTAAAAATAATGTGACAAAAAAAAGCAGGGCAGCGCACGTGGCTGCAGTCTGCCCCACCCAAAACTGGTGCCTGGTTGGCCAGAACCATGCTCCAGCTGCCAGCAAGACTCCATGTGCCCAGATTGCTGTTGCTGCAGCCCTTGAAGGTCCCCAGGTAAGGCTGCTGGAGCCAGCCCAGGCGCTGGTCCTAGCCCCCTCTACCTCACCCACAGCGTGTATGCAAAGGCACTCCCCGGAAACAAGTAGCAGCAGCAGTGCCCCTTCCTCACTGAGCTGCAGCTGGATTGCATGGGCCATTTATAAGAGGCAAAAGTAACAAAAACCTTATCTGTATTATGTCTAAGTTATCACTATTGCCAGCCCCAGATCCCCAGCTGTATTTGGTGGATATCACAGTATGTCCCAGGCAAAGTTAAAACCAGAGGAAATGTGATAATGTTGAGAAACAAGTTTCCAACAATTTAAATTTCTCAGCATAGGAATTGCCTAAGCCTATTTTTATTGGCTGCTTAAGAAAACACAGAATAAACCATAAATAAACTAAAGCATTAATGTTTAAGACTAGGGACAGACATTACACATAGACCAGTTTAAGTAATCAGAAACTGGTTTAAACTTGTAACAGAACAGATGCTCATAAACCAATTTGAAAATGGCTGAAACTGGTTTGAGATAAACCTGGTTAAATGTAGTATCAAACTTAACTAATTTAGCTCAGACCAGTTTATGCAGTGGCTGCCCCAGACCCCTTCCTGGTTTAAGTTAAACCAAACTCCCCCCGCATCCTGGCATGCTGTCTGACTTGGTGTGACTCTCTGCTCCACAGCAGAGCTGGCCCCGCCCCTCTGCTCTCTGGCTGGAGCTCAGCAGAGACTGCAGGCATCTGCCTGGCCTGGTCCCCCCTGCTCTCCCCACTAAGCAGGGATTCCCCTCTCCCTTCTGCCTTACACAGAAACCTCTCAACATTAGCTAGCATGCCACATGCTGGCTATGGTCCATGACGTGGCAGACAGGACAAATGCAGACAGGACTGTGCTGCTTAGGGCTCTTTGGAGTGAATCAACAGGTAGTTGGTAATGTCTCTCCATTCCTTCTTTGAACAAGTTGTTTAGGAAGAGATTGAATTAATGAGAGACCCTTTTGTTTTGCTGACGGGGTGATAAGTGCTCCCTGCTGTCGACCTAAATGCTGTGTAAATCTTGGCTGGCTCTCTTTCTGACCAGTGAGTGGGGAGACCCCTCTCTAATCATATTTTCCTGCCCGGGCCTGACCCCCCCACCCAACTCAGCAATGTGGAAGGGAAGGGAGGGATGCTCTAGTGCCCCCTGGCATCTCGCCTGAGCCACTGCAGGCATGTGCCTGCATTTTTTCAGTCCAGAGGCGATGTCTGTGTGGTTACAAACTGATTTAGGCTAGGCAGATTAGACTAACCTACAAAGATTGACTCAATTCAGGCTCAGGCTTTTTGAATGTCTGTCCCTAGCCTAAGTGGTCCAGTGATATTCTCTCTCCCTCCCTCCCTCAATTCTACAAAACAACAGAACCAGAGTTATTGGCAGTGAGACCTGAAATGAAACCAGCATAAATGGTGAATTTTAAGGGCCAAATCCCAAAGTCTATGCTCAGGGAAAAGCATATTGAAGTTTAAGAAATAGGTCAGGGCTATTCTCAGGTGAATGCCTCCTATGGGGATGAGTAGGCTGGCTGATGCCTTCTATGAAGTCATCATCCTTCCTTACAGCAGAGACAAGTAAAAGTCAAGTTTCTAGATAAAACTAAACTAAAAGTGCCTATTCCCCTCTCCCCCCACACACAATGCACAGTTTCACTGAAAACAGAAACAAGCAACAAAGCTATGTATGTCATTATATAACAAAGAGCAGCACACAACTTAGGGGATGTTTTCTGTTAACCAAACGATGGTGCTGACTGAGGTGAACAGACAAGGCACAGATCCATTTCAGTAGGGTTGCATTAGGGATGAATTTGACCCTGGCTTTTCGGTAAAAATCCAAGCACACAGACACCCATGCACATGCTCACCCACCTACCCTCCAACCTACACCACTCTGGTATCCATTTCCCCATCAATTTCAATTTAGATCAGATTTTAGCTTTCAGTTCTTGCCAGAATCCTTTTTATTAAAAAAAACCAAAACCAATCAGGCAAGTAAAGAATGATGAACAGGGATGTACTTAAGGCTGAGGAAGGCTGAAAAAACAATGAATGGGCTTGGAAAAGTCATAAATGAGACAATCTGAAACTAGAAGTGTGGGTATTTCAATAAGAAATAAGAACCTGGGCTGCAGAGACAAGGTGGTGAGAAGAAGCCCTTATACATGGGAGAACGAGAAACAGGTTCAGAGAGGGCCCTCTTGTTGGCATGTAAGTGCTGGGTAGTTTCCTTGCTATTCAAGGAAACCTCTACACATAATGCACTTGAGATTAAAAAAAACATATTTTAAAGCAATATATGTCATCAATCTGTTCCCTGATGCTTTGCTGGTGACAAAGGATATGCTAGGATTTGATTAGATGCTTTGGGATCTTACCTGGGAAACAGCAAAGATGGTGTACAGAGACAGAGGCTAGGGACAGACATTCAAAAAGCATGAGCCTGAATTGGTTCAATCTTTGCAGGTTAGTCTAACCTGCCTAGGTTGAACCAATTTGCAACTGTAGAGACATTCCCTCTGGACTGAGGAAATGCAGGCACATGTCTGCAGTGGCTCGGGCTAGAAGCTGGGTGGGCACTGGAGCAGCCCTCCCTTCCCTTCTACAGTGCTGAGGGAGGGCATAGCCAGGCCCCAGCAAGATGCTTTGATTAGGGAGGGGTGTAAACCCCGACCCTGCCTGCACCATCACACGCTTTTCCCTGCTCACTGCTCAGGAGGCAGGAGTGTTGCCAGCCCCCAGCCCCGGGCTAGCACTCTGAGGCAAAGTGAGGTATGCAGTGCATGCATCTGTTGATGATACTGACCTTTTCAATCTCCCTCTCCCTGCTTCTTCATACTGTCTGCAACCTGACAGGTGAGGAAGCCAGCAGGGAGCTGACAACAATATCCCATCAAGAAAACAAAAGCTTCTCTCATCAGTTCAAGCTCTTTTTAAACAGCTTTTTCCAAGGAAGGAACAGAGGGACATTTCCAACTGACCTGTTGATTAGCTCCAAAAAGCCCTAAGTGGACATGGTTCTCTCTGCCCGTCCCAGTGAAATTGGAGACAGACACCTCTCAGAATTGGCTAGCATACCACATGCCTGGGGTCCGTGGGGCTAGAGTCCATGCTGTGGGAGATGGGAGGCAAGGATGGGGGATCCCTGCTTGAGCAGCAAACGGTGAGAGGGGGTTGGGCAGGAGGAAGCCAGGCAGATGCTGCTGTGCTTGCAATCTCTGCCAGAGCTCTAGCTAGGGAGCAGAGGGGCAGGGCCAACTCTGTTCTCTGGAGCAGAGAGCACAGCACAGCCCAGCCCAGGGCTGCAAAGCATCTGGGATGCTGTGGGACTCCGGTTTAACTTAAACCTGGAAGGGGTCTGGGACAGACATTGCATAAACCGGTTTGACCCAAATCGATTAAGTCTGATACTACATTCAACTAGGTTTATCTTAAACCAGTTTCAACCATTTTGAGACTAGTTTATATGCACTGAACTTATGCTTGGCTACAGGTTTAAACCAGTTTCTGATCACTTAAACTGGTTTATGTATAATATCTGCCCCTAGCCAGAGAGTGAAATTCAGTACAACACAAACTGTGTTAACCACCAGACTGAAAGCTTTTTTAACCCTGAAATCTCATATCATTTTCAAAGAAGGTTAATAGACATTGCTAATAAACATATACCACAATAGACAACAACCATCCTATGCTCCCTAGTGCAGACACTCCTTAGCATCTATACACACACACATAGACATCTGATGTGAACCACATTACAAACATTTCTTTCATATTTTTACTTGTCATGTGTATGTTTAAAAAAGAAAAAGGTATTTTGCAAGAATAAACCTGGCCATTCAAAAATATGCCCTATGCTTAAGTTCATTAACCACATCTCACACACTGCTTATTTGAAAGGGATCAGAAAAATATATCTTCAATGAAAGAGATGATCTTTTGATGGGAGGTGAGCTATTTCTGGCTGCACCCAGGAAGTTAGAAAAAAATCCAAGGTGGCTCATGTTTTTCTTTAACTTATATATTTTAGATGGGCTTAGATTCACATAACACACACATATATACTACATACAAACATATACACACAGGCACATAAACAGCACACATTCCATTATACATGTTGAGTCCTGATCAAATGCAGCCACATATAGAACGCTTGCATTCTAACTGACATACTTAACTGTATGCCCATGCACATACTCCTATTCTCACAGACTTTCCCCACACAACAACATATGTAAAACCATATACAGGTATACACATGCCTAACAGCACTATTGCACACAGCAGATATGGCC